TCTTAATGTGTTATCCACACAGCAGAGGGAGCATCAAAATAAGAGGTGCTTTCTTGATATCTTAGCCTCTCTTCCCAGCAACTGAAGGATTATGGTTCTCCGTTCAGCCTTCTTTGCACCAAAAAGCAACACTAAATAAAATCAAAACAAAGAATCTCGCATTAAAATCTTTGGATTTAAATGGAATAGTAGAGCTAGAATACCTGACGTGCTCAGCCTCTATATCAGTGTGTGTCCAATCAGGAGATAGAAACTCGTTATTTAAACAGAAGTTTAATATAAAGAATTATTAACCTATGGTAAGAGTAACTATAGGATATGAGAAAACTCCATATTATATTCTAGGGCTGAGGGAGAGTGCCCAAGAAAGGACAGATTTGAAAAGGGGCCCCGATCTCCAGGGCCAGGGTTCAGATCTTGTGGATGATGTAATTGCGGCCTACTGGATGGCAGAGAAGTTTGCTGGCTGGCCTGAGCCAGACATGGCCCCCAGTCCCTGGGCAAGGAGGAAGTAACCACCCAGAGTACGGTGGAGCAGTCAGGATGCAGACCAGCCTCAGGCAGTGCGTGGATGCAAGGGCAGGCAGAGAGAGCGGGGTCCCTCCAGGGCACCAGTAGGGCTACAGCCAATGGCCAGGTACACAGTCATGCAGAGGGACTAAGGGGGCTATGGCAGGAGGCCTGCAGCGTGCGGATTCCTGTCAAGAGGGCTGGGCATTAGAAGGGTGGTGGAATACAAACCTGGGAGGGGCACAGGATCAACGGAAATCAGGGCATGGGTGCAGGCAGGAGCCCTGGAAATCATGGCGTCCAGGTTGAGATGGCACCAAGAATGTCATCACCAGACCAGGTTGCAGCTGTGACGTCAGGAGGGACCACACATTCTGGTTCTGTGGCTGGGTTAGCACACCCCCAGATAGACTCACGATCACAGCTCACGTTGCTAACCCACCTCCACAACTGGAAACAGCCAGAGAGCCCCTTCCCCTTGCAATGTGCCTCTCATACCGGCTACTGAAAAGCTCAACATTGGCTCACTATAAGGAAGGCATGCCTGAAGGAGTTCTGTCCATTGCCGCAGAGCATCATGTACTACTGAAGGGTAAGTTTGGAGCTGAGAGGCAATATGTCGATAACTGGCACAGCCCATCCCTTTGGTTACTCAGCCTTCCTATGTACCCGTCCACATACATTTGAATTCTTAGAGCAGCAAAACAACTCCTCTTTCCACCTACTAGATAGATGTACCCATCCTTTTATATGTTTTCACTGTTCCCCCAAATTAGATGACTCAGAGTCCCAAGTCATTGGTGTCCATCATGGGCTTTATTAATTACTCCTCAAATTCAGGCAGGCACCCTTTGAATATTCTGTTACCTCAAGACTAAATTGTAAAGTTAACCTTCAATAACTTGTGCATAAAATAAAATAAAATAAAATATAGGAAACAGGATGGAGAAAAAGAGAATGGTGAGTATAGACAGACAGACGTATACATAGAATAGAGAAAATCTGCAAAGCTGCTATATCCCTTGTTTCTGTAATTGGTCTCAAGCTGTTCGTTCTTCAATGACCAATTACAATTTTCCCTCACCCTTGGCCAAAACCTTAGGTGCTTTGGGTTCTTTACCTGGTGGAGTGACCAAAATCATTTCCCAAAGGTTTGAGTCCTAAATCAGTTTGCTTTTTTAGTTGTTGGGACAAAATAGTTTTCCATTGACTTTACTATTAGTAGGCAGATTAAGGGTCCCACAAAGATGTTCATATCTAAATTCCTGGAAACTGTAAATCTATTATTATGAAACAAATGGGAATTAAGGTTGCTAATCAGCTGATCTGAAAGTAGGGAGATTGTCCTGGATTACCTGGTCGGGCCCAGTGGTTGTCCTGGATTATCTGATTGGACCAGTCTCACCATGATTCTTAAAAGTGGAAGAGGAAGGCAGAAGAGGGAGAACCAGAGATGGCAGTGTGAGGACTCAGCCCGACATTGCTGGCTTAGGAGTTGGAGGAATGAAGCCATGAGCCAAAGAATGTGGGGAAGCCCCTAGAAGCTGGGAAAGGTGAGGAAATGGATTGTCCCTTCAGAGCATCCACAAGGACTGTAGCCCTGCCAACATCTTGATTTTAGCCCAGTGATACCCATCTTGGACTCCTGACTTCCAGAACAGTAAGATATTAAGGTCGTGTTGTTTTAAGTCCTTAGGTTTGCAGTAATTTGTTTCAGAAGCAATGAAAAACTAATACACTGTTAAAGAAAGTTTTTATATCCATGGGTTATTTAGAAACCTGACCTGGGGGCACCTGGGTGGCTCAGTCGGTTAACTGTCTGCATTCAGCTCAGGTCATGATCCCAGGGTCCTGGGATCTAAGCCCCATGTCAGGCTCCCTGCTCAGTGGGGAATCTGCTTCTCCCTCTCCCTCTCCCTCTGCCGCTCCCCATGCTTGTGCTCTCTCTCTCAAATAAATAAATAAAATCTTTTTAAAAATAATTAAAAAAGAAACCTGACCTGGGGGTGCTTGGGTGGCTCAGCTGGTTGTGCGCCCGACTCTTGATTTCTCCTCACGTCATGATCTCAGGGTCGTGGGATCAAGCCCCACAACCCAGTGTGGCGCCCACTTAAGATTTTCTCTCTCCCTCTCCCTCCGCCCCTCCCTCCCCCAAATACATACATACATACATACATACATACATACATAAAATCTTAAAAAAGAAACCTGATCTCCAAATTAGAGAACTGATAAAAATTCACTAATAAGTAACAGTCACTGAGTCACTTAATAATTATTTTAATCTTTTATTTCAATGACAGTATAGCAGGGTGAATAGTAGTATACAGCTGCTCATTGTGCACTCCAAATTGCTTCTCAAAGGGCCACGATGGGTTCCACCCAAGCCATCTGTCCAGAAGGACAGAACTTCCCTGTCATAGATCTCCCAACCATCTTCTTCACCTTTTGACTTACCCTGCATTTTGGAAGTGCTATATGCTGAAGAGCAGCATAACAAACATTCCTAAATCTCAAAACTGCTGGCATCTTCATGTTCCTTTCAAAGCAAAATAGCTTTTCGTTCACTCTTACCAAAACTCCTGCTCTGATGCCTATGTGACTGAACTCAGACTGAGCTCTTCTAGAGAAGTCAAAAGCCTGAAATTTCAAAACTCTTCTCCTCATAAGTGTAACTCCAGCCTTATCCTTCAACCACCGCAGCTGCTGAAGAACTACACAAGTCGAACAAGTTTCTCATCATTGTGTCTGCCGCACTTTCTTCCATGAGACTGATTAATTCAATCTAGAAAGCGCCCCCTCTCACATCTACCTCAATAATCTCCAGGTCTCATTCAGACCTCCTTCTCGATACACTGTGCTGTGAACAACAGAATTCCCTAACTTTTGAATCTGGTTTTCCCCTTACAGGGCATTTTCTAACTTTCCCACGCCACTATGTTCCAGCTTACCTCTTTAAGGGTCTCTGGGATTAAAAGCATCAAGAAGCTGTTGGATTAATTACAGCCAGACCAAGACCAGACCGCATAAAGGGGGACACCCACGCTGGTAATGATGGAACCAAAAATTCAGTCCCTCCATGGGATGTGAGATAACTCTTAGTATGAGTAATTTATAGGTAATTTGTTCCGAACAAAGGTACAAGGTGTTACAGGTTCCCTGCCTCAGAGGTGGAAAAAGGCTAGGGGACAGAGATGGCACCTATGCACTATCAGAATTCCAAATTCCTAAATCACAGGGAGTTCCAACAGTATATGACCACCTCGGGATCCATGAGGTTTTACCCCGAAGCAGATCAGCTCCAGGCACACATTTTATGACCTTGTACAAAATCAGTAACAAGTAAGACTTCCAAATCCTACAAGTCCACTTTAAAGTATGCATTGTTTGTCTATTCCTTGAAGGAATAAGGCCAACATTGCTAAAAGATACGGAGAAATAAATCTAGAATTAGTCTTGCAATGTTGAATGCAGAGGATTGTTCAAGATAAAGTTCTGGTAAATCAATATTCCTTTGAGGCAAAGCAAGTGCCTCTCTGAGAAGACCAAAATGACACCAAGAACAGCTTGCTGGCAAACAGGAAAAATGGGTCAAGTTCTTAAGGGCAAATAAGTTCTCCATCCTTAGCTTGAGCGTATATAGCCCATTTGGCATCGAGGAAAAGGAGGAGTTTAGCAAACAATTTGGAGACTTGACGCGGTGTTACAGTCTCATTTGCATATGCCCAAAAGGATTCATGAGTTACCAACTTCATTTATTATTTATTGACAGGACAACAGCAACTGTTTTTTTTTTTAATTGCTGGGACCTCAGCAATTGGTGTTTTTGTGGGTTTTTTGGTCAGGACTCCAGAAACTAAATTTTTTTCATCAAATCACTGAGTATGATCGGAAGAGTGATTTCTGTGTGTGTGTTTTGTTTTTTATAAGTTTCTGAAGGAAAGGCATACATGAATATAAGAAACAAAAAACATAATCAAACCCCTTTAGAAATATACGTAATTCAAATATACAACAGCAAAATCCACCAGGATATTCTAACACATGGCGGTAGTTCTCTAAATTTCTCAAGTGTCAGACAAAACCTCCATCAAATTGCTGTTCCCTACCCCCAACCCACCTCAACGACAGTTTCTGAATTACTAGGTAGGGATGTGGTGGGACCCAAGAATCTACATTTCTAAGAGGTTTTTCCATGCTCCTGATGCTGCTGGTTCAAGGATTGCACTTAAAATCCACTGCACTCAAATATGGAAGGCACAGTTCTAGCCTAGTAGAAAAGAACGCTTATCAAGTAGAACGGTGGGGTTGAAGTGTCTGTATTAGGGTTAGGAATGGAGGTTTCTCCCTAAGTGTTTCTGCTTGAACTCTGGTCCTGGATGCCAACTGCCTCTTCATCTTTGGCTAGCGTTCAGAGTTTTTCTTCCATGGAGAAAGGGATGACCAATGAGGCAGTCAAGCAGATGTGTGCAACCAGGAGTCCGTTCCACTTATTTCTCCTGAGGGGTCTCCACTGTCTCTGTGTTACGAGACTGAGCGTTCTTTTCCCTTTTCAACAGCTCTTCAAAGATCTCATTGTGCATGTAAAAGAAGATGTAACCGGTGCAAAGCCTAGCCTCCTGCATCAGAGCTTCTTGGATACTTGATACCTGGAGATCGTTGTAAGTGAACCACACTTGCCTCTCAAAGTCATAGGCATCGCTGATATAATGGCCTGAATTGGGGGTCTGCCCGAGATGGCTGACAACACCAACGAGCCGATAGGTGTAGAGATCGTCCATCTCGGCATTTCCTTTTGGTTTCTTGGCTTCAGTTTCTGTCTTCTCCATATCTAAAAATTGTTTGTCTCCAGGGTTTTCATCGGAACCCGATGCACCTAGGGAATTCACATCGGCCCCCTGGAGACTCAGGTCTGTAGGCTTCCTGAGGTTCTCCGTGTACCACTGGGCATGTTGCTTCAAAAGGGCTTGAAGCAGTGCCTGCTGAAGGGCTTGTTCGTAGAGCCTCATCCTTTCATCCTGCTGGGTAGGCTCAGCCCCTTTTTGGAATTCATTTGAAATTCTGTTTTTCTTACCATCATAAAAATCTTCAATGGTGTCAGCAACACTCTCCAAATCTGCAAACATGGGGGTCTTCTCGTACTTCTTTTGCTTTAGATCTTCAGACGCTTCTTGAGGATAATTGTCTGCAAGGCGTGTTTCTGGACCACTGGTGGGTTTACCTTCATTGTCGTGGATCAGAGAATGGGACGTTTCTTCCAGATTCATCATTAAGCCAGCGGCTAATAGCTCTTTTTCAATGACTGCTCCATCTCCTAGGTTCATCAGTTTGGACTCTGTTGTATTCAGGCCGGAACATTTTCCCAGGTCTTTTTTCTGCTCTTCTCCGTGTGACCCTTCGGAGAGAATCTGGCATTTTTGTGGTTCAGGCTCTTTGTCTGGCCCAGTGTGTGGAACTGGGAAAACACTGGATGCTGAGGTCGGTTTTGTGGAAAGTGCTGGTGGACAAAGGTTTTCAGCACTCATCTTCTGGAAGACTTTTAGGATTTGGGAGTCCCTATTATGCGCATTCTTGCTCACAGGAAGAGGTGGTTTGGTACTTTCATTGCAATGAGATGATAACTTTAAATACTTAGAAATAACAACTTCCTGGTCATCCTTCCTTAGCGACCAAAACTCGTTAAAGATATAACGTTTCAGATGAACAATGAGAACCCTGGGGAGCCTACTGAATTTGTGCACTGCGACAGAACTCCTGTGCTGACATTTCTCACATCTATACTCAAGTTCTTCTGCTCCGAAGAAGAGATCAAAAGCAGACTGAATAGACACAGGGAGAGCTTTCATTCCCTGGGGAAGGTTGATGGAGAGGTAATTACTCACTTCTGTCTTGAGAACTACCTGACCACAGGCTTGACAAATAATAGAGCGCAGCAACTCAAACTCAAAATTAGTGATGACGGGACAGATGAGCACCCTGGTGGCAGCAGTACCCGCAAAGACCTGTTGAGCTGAACTGCCCTCCTCGGATTCAATTTTCATCTTCCAGATTGTGTTTAATTTCTCCATGTTCTCTTTCATCTGAACCAAACAGTGGCCCAAAAACTCATGAGCATCATTTTGTATGTTGCCAGAGAAGATCTCTGCAACTGTCGAAATGGTTTTTTTAATAGTCACAAGTAACCTCTCCTTGATTTTTAGGTTATAAACATTTTTCAAAACAAACAGCTGTGCCAGGCGCATGCTCAGAGCATCAAGGGGAATTTTACCCCATGGGAAATCCTGACTGAGTAAATCATCAGCAAATGATGGAATCGAAAATAAGGACTGTAAAACTGCATTCATGTAACAGGTGTTTCCCAAATTGGGGAGGCCTTGCCATAATTTCTCTGGGTAGAAGTCAAAGGTCTTCTTGAGTTTGTCCCACTCCGGGTCATCCATATTATACTTTGATGCCAACAGAAATGCCAAATATATTTTCTCAGACAGCATCTGAAGAAGACCTGCGCCATCCAGGCAAGGCTTTCCAGGAGAAACGGTCTTGATTAAGGGCTTGGCCTCTAATTTCTTATTCTTTTTTAACACTCCTAACATCAATTTTTTCTTCTCATTGTGGCTTACATACCTCAAGGGATTTGTCTGGGATTTCTTCTTTCTTACAGAGTTACTCTTCCGCGGGATTTTCCCATTCATCTCTGAACCAGATGATAGCATCCTTGTCTTCCCGTATCCATTCTCTAGTAAATTTTTGCAACTATGTTTTGATGAGTTTGATGCAAAGGAAGGCATCTTCTGAAGGTCAGGTGTTCCACTTCCTTCTCCTGTCTGAAAAGATCCACTATTTGGCTTTTTGCGTGCTTTGTGGAATGAGTTTTTGTTGATTTCCTTCGGTGTTGTCATGCTGGCAAAGATACCTCCATCCCTCCCAGGTCTCGTGGATGGCTGAATATTATTTTGATGGACTCTATCCAGGAACATCTTCAACTCTTCAGCATCTCTGGAAGATAATCTTTCAATAAACAAGTAGCTCTTGTTTTGGAAAGTTAAGTGCAGGTGATTTTGCTTTTCTCCATATGATCTAAGGACCACGTTTTTAATATTATTACTTAGTCGAAAAGTTACATGTTCTCCAGTGGTGAAATACACCACCAGTTTGATCTTCTTCTTTCTTTCTACTGTTTCAATGTGTGCTTCTTTGGACCTAGACATCCCCATCTTCCTGCTCCATATTTGGACAAAACCGTGTACCATTAGGGTGGCCATCTTTTCTTCACAAGTAAGTTACACGTATCCTGAATTATTGACAGTCTCAAAGTTCCAATTTGTTTTGCAAGGTCACTTTCGGCGACAGCACCAAGAACTGATTCTTTAGTTCTCTACAAGAATGGTTCTATTTTAGTATTGGTTTTATACTACAGTTTCTTCAGGTTCTGGATGTCCAGCTATTTCGTGATAACACCAATACCATTCAAGAGCTGTATATGATGACACGAGGGAAGAATCTTGATTTCTATGGCAAGGCAGCTACTGGAAAAAAAATCAAGAAAAATCATTTAAGCTATCAGAAAAATGCTTGGATAGAACTCAAATTCTACTCCCATACACTAAATCTCCTTTCCACTACAACACTAGATTCCATTCTGATTAATTTCCCCACTTCAACTGAAATCATTAAACACTTGGAAGACTTTCAATACATAGCTGAAGAGCATAATGCACAGTGTCTCAAGCGTAGGCATATAATGTGCTAATCCTCCTGTCATAGAATGACCCCAAGGGGCAATTGTAATAAGTGAATAAGAGAGTGGAGGCACTAGGCTGCCCTCAAACCAATAACAGGTGAATAGCTCTTTATGTCCAGAAATCCACAGGACTTCATACACAGGCCACTAAATGTAAATCAACCTACCTCTTTCCAAATCCAGTTATGTTCCTTTCTTTCACGTGGCACAGTGTGAAGTCCACACGTTCTACCCCATGTGAGCACCTAACCTACCACTGCTTAAAGCAGATGTCAAAGAATTCACTATCTCCAGCTCCAACAAGCCAAGATGACCTGGTATGCTCTAACCAATCCCGATTCTTATGATAAGTGTGAGGTAACTGAAAATTTAAAGCCATGTGGAGCAAGACCATAAAAAACAATTTTGAAAGTTAGTCAAAATTATGACTGAGACTAAGCTCAAGATTGTGTTTACTGCGCTTTACTATTGAACAAGCAAATGCAGGTAGTATAAATAATTTACAAGAAACAGGATATGATGAGTGGAAAGTTTCTCATGGGCTCCAATGTGGCTTCACTGTTCCTATGGAGGCATGCCCAAAGTTTCAAGGTTGGTATCATCCATGCAGAATGAAGAATGCCCCAGGTTAAAAAAGGAAACAAACCAATGGTCTGGTGCCCTTTTGGCCATTATACCAGGGGTAAAACCAAGTCAGCATTAAGGGTCTCTTATTAACACACACAAATTTCTTACTAAGTCCCAATTAACATTTTTTTTTTACTTTTCATTCCTTACTTCATCATCATATGGCCTAGAGAAAAACTGGTTATGCTCAACATGGGTGAATTATGTACAATACAACACCATCTCCTGGATCGTTAGTCTTGCTTTCCTCATACCTGCAACTATGCTCACATTCACCTGTCTAACGTAAAATCACCAGTAGATTGTCTGGGTCAACTGGGCTGTGGAGAACTGTCATAAGACTTTGCAGTATAACTGGACCACCAACCCAGGCAATGGGAAAACCACATGCAACAACTTCTAGTAGGCCTTAGGTCTTATTACTCTCTTTTCCAGAAAATATTATCTGAACACCTTTAGGGCATATCTAGCCATCCATGGACAAGTACAAGGCATTTTTATCCAGGGTTAATTATGGGATGTGGACAGTGAGTGTGAGATCTGTTTGTCTTCCAGACTACATGGAATTAAGACCGTAAAGTAACCATTTTTATAATCAGTCTAACACTGTCCTTCTGCTTGGCTAGAATTGCTTCCACATTCTCCTCCAATTGATTACCTCTTGCAACTGACATGAAATGCCTGACGTGCACTTCCCACAAGCTAAATTAGGTTGATTTCTTGAAATAATCCCATCTCTCTACTCCCCAGGTGCCTTGCCTACTAAACCACGAGTGAAACATGTTTTTCAACAAGTTAGGTCTACCAAATTTACCTGACTCAGGCCATTTTTGGCTTGAGAACTTCACAGCCATCCATTCTGAACTTCAGTCCAAGAACTCCCCAAACAAGTTCTGAGGCTTTGCAAACACATCACTCATGAAGGCACCTTAGCACCTTTTAATTAGTTTCACAAAGTGATAAATCTATAACCCTAATTCTTTACATATTAACACTTCTAAGCACACACTGCCTGCTTTGGGACAAGCCAGATACCCCTGGCTTGTACCCTACAGGGCCCCTAACATCATCCTAGCAGAAGGTAAGTAAAAGGAAACAGTCAGACAGCAAATCACTGATGTAGGGAAAGAGAAGTTCCCATCAGGTTACAAGGAACAGCACTGGGACAGTGCACTAAATCACCACAACCTGCATGTAAGAAGTCAAAGGAGAACTGAAAACTTAACTTACAACTAAGTGCCCTAAAATATGACGGGAAAATATCAATTAAAAAAAAGCCCCACCATGGGTAATTCTGCTTGTCATCCTGTATCAGCTACAAATTACACATGGTCAAAAAATACAGCCAAATGTCCCAGCTTTCCAAAAATGTCTCGAACATCCTATGTGAACACTCACTAAGCTTATGAGATGTGTTCAAGGCAAGGACAAACTCTTGAATACTAAATAAAGAAACCATTCCCCAAACCCTAAATGTTCTAAGATGACATTAGAATGGACTTTAGGTATATTGTTGCTAACAACCAAGACATCATCTATTGGTAATGAACATTTCTCTCTAAAATAGAATGGATCCTCTCAATGCGCATCAGTATATGCCCATCGGTATTGAGCACTGTACACGTATGTTTAAAAAAAAAGACAAAGTTTAGTGGTCCTCTTGACAAATATTTACCATTAGGCCAAGCTGAGACCTTAGACTATGAGGTATTCAGATCATGTGCTATTCCCCGCCCCACCCCACCTGCGTCTTCCATTCTTAGCTCTCCACAGGACACACCAGTGACTCCAAAGAAGTTATATTAGTTAAAAAAAAAAAAAAAGGAAGTTATATTAGTGATTAGCATCCCACTGACACCATAGTCAACTCTAGAGTATTGATTGGGCTCACTGACAAAAGTAAATCTAAGAATTTCTCGCCCATTGTATGTAAGCTAGAGAGGCTCCTATAGCCAGCTTTGGCCATAGGGTCCACATAATCTGAGCTAGCTCCCTGTAACTCAAAACCAGCGAGGAAGGATCAGATGTACAGAGTCACTCAAAATTAAAATTTTCTGAATAACTCTATAGGGGACCAATCTGAATTAATGAATAGGTAAGCACTTAGCACTACAAATGTTTGTTATCAAGAAGGCATGTGCCAGAATTTATGGGAAGCTGTATTTTCTCCTACATAGTTAAATACTCTTCCTAAATCTTGTCTATGTTATTAACTTGCTCAGCAGACCCTGTCTTTATGGATAATGCTAAAGGAAACTTCTGCTTGATCTGGTCCCTGCCCAAATTATCAAAAACTCAAAATTGGTGGAGTGTAAGTTAGGGAGATTTTTGTTTTATCAAGTATTTATCTATCAAGCTCTGTTCAGTGAAGAAGGGATTGCACCCATCCATACACAGAAGTGCATATGCATCCAAGTGAAAGAATGATCATATTTATCATGGTGGAAATGGGGCCATAAAAACATTCAAGCACAACAGCAGATTCAAGTTGTCTGGATTATTTATAGTTCACTGTCCTATGTAGATGCTAAGAGTTTAAACTATTTCCTCACCACAAAAAAAAAGAGACAAAGTCTTCATTTCTCCTATTTCAACCACTTGAGAGAACCTACAACCCCAGAAAGATTTCCAAGCTGCATTCAAAAATTTTGCAATCCCAGCTGATCTGTATTTATCAAAAACTGTTGTCTGTTTCTTCTAATGATAGCTGAAATAATCTAAGACCCTCATGGCATTTCCACTCTCTGCCTTCAAGAGGGCAGTTAAGAGACATGTGTTTCCAAAAATGATGTCTCCATTCATTGCTCTCTCCTCACAGTTCAAGGTGCGTATATTTCATTCCAGAATAAAGGCGACTTCTTTGTGCCCACTGAGCAGGGAAAGTGCAGATTAGGAGCCATCTTGCTGACGGACAGCCAAGGGGTCTAACCACTGCTCACTTTCCTAGCTAGCCCATCTCTAGTTGAAACCGTCTTTTTGATTCTGCCTTGTCACTCAAAGGCTTTTAGGGCTTCTTTGCTCATTTTTAGAAGATTTTAAACTAAAATGTATCCGTTTTCTAAGACTCCACTGAAGAGTGCTATGTGACTATTCTATGCAGACTAAACTAGGCTTCAGCAGTAGTGATACTCCAACTCCATTCCAAAGTTGTGAAAGCCAAAGTGTTTTTCTCTAGTTTTACCCACAAACTCAGTCCGTTCAATTTGATTGGTCACCTACTAGTGCAACACGCTAGGCGAGCTGCTGATCTCAGAGCAGAGGCAAAAACTCATAGAGCTGCACTATTCTTGTCAGATTGGGAGGCATCACCTCTGGTGTCAAGAAGGTGGCTGTATGGTTAAAAACTCCTGGTAGAAATGTCTGCTTCATGGTTCATTTACTAATTCACTTTACATCGATCTTCTTGGTCATTGAGTATTTGCTGAGCATCTGCTCTATGCTATGGATTATGATTTCCTGCGTGTCGGCTCTATGCCGTGTATCATGACCAGGGCTCTCAGGGACACAAAGGACGTGAGTATTCACTGTACCTAAGCAACGTAGACTGTTAACATCATCCTATACACATCACAAATGAAAAGGGCCTTGCTTCGGGTGGGGACAAAGGATCTGGGAAAATATCTTTCACTGTCATTTTCTAGTGCTTGACACAAAGCCGGGGTGGGAGCAGTGTTTTGCAAAGGAGAGAATCTTCTGGAGTAAGATTTCCCAAGCCCCCCGGCAAAGAAATTGGCCCTTGGGAAAAATGCCTGCAAGTCCAAGAACCCAGAAGCCCAGTTAATAATTGTGTGTTAGGATAACTTTAGAAGGATTTGTGAGGCTTTTGGAGTATTTGCCCTCTGTGTCCTGTATTTCTATTTCCCACCATTCATGCTTTCATTATTTCAAAAGCAA